TCCAAGTGGATCTATACAAAGATTTCATTAGGCCTCATGTACACATGAACTCCACTAGACGTTAAGCTCTCCTGGCAACAGAAAAATGCAAAACGCAAAAAGGTGTGTGTAAATTTGATACCGCTTTTAGCCGAATTTAGCACTGGGACGTTTGTTCATTTGACTGGGCAGATCTGGTAAAAGCCTATGTGTACATGGACACATAGGGATTGATTTACTAAAAGGTAAATATACTGTGCACCGCAAGTGCAGTTGCTTTAGATCCAAGGGGAAACTCTGACATGAGGCAAAGCTCTGCCGATTTCTTTCATCCAATCCTGTGCAAGCAAAAATGCGTTTTGTTTTTTTTCCTTGCATGTTCCCCGCAGATCTAGAGCAACTGCACTTTCAGTGCACTTCCAAATGCATTTGGAGTGCACAGCCTCTTTGCCTTTAGTAAATCAACCCCATTGGCTTCTATTAAATTGAGTTCAGGGACTTTGAAAAAAAAAACAAAAACGCCAAAAGCTCCTAAACTCACATTTAGGAGCAGCCGTGTACATGAGGCCTTAGAAAGCAACTCCAGCCTGAGAAAATAAGCCTATCGTTTTCCAACATGCGAGAATGAGAAGGACACCTGCTCTCTGTGTGGAAGCAGTGGTCTCTCTGCAGATATTTGACATCCTCCTGCAGAATCAGTTAGATCTCTCCAATCAGCAGGAAGTATAATTTTTTGATTGCGGAGCTACAGGTCTGACTTGACATAGGGCATGTCGAGTCAGAAGCAGAAGAACCATTGTTTTCACATAGAGAACAAGGGTCCCCTCTCTACACCATGCTGGAAGGGGACAGGCTTTTCCACTTCTGTTGGCCATAAACGATTAGAAAATCATTAACGAAAACAAAAAAAAAGGTCAAATTTCTAAAGATCTGTTAAACATGCATGTGATAACGCCATCATTGTATCAAGATCTATCCCCCAGTTATTGATATTATTGAGAACATAAATGGTACATTGTTGTTTATTGATTCAGCTTCCGAGGTTACCTTTTAAAACATGTTGTAGATTTTTATAAACTGTTTTTAATAATTTCCGCTACTTATGTTTAAAAGAATTGTTTGTTTGAAACCCAAAACTTTTGAAAAAAAACAAAAAAAAATAAAAATGCATTTTTCTTTGTTTCTGTTATAATATTTTGCAAATAGATTATATTTTGACCTAAACCTATGAAGAAATGTTATAAATGTTATTTGTTACATTTCTTTGGTGAAAATACCCCAAATTAGTGTATATTATTTAGTCTGTAGGAAGGTTATAAAGTCCACATGGTTATATATATCTGACAATCGATCAATCCTGATGTACTGATGGCCGATCTAATTTCTTTAGGGCTGAAACCACCAAGATAGTACAAATACCCCCCAATTTACTCATTTTCGGAAAATAGACAGTCCAAGGTATTTAGTAAGAGGCATGGTGAGTTTTTGGAGGTTGTGATTTTGTTTTTTTATTTTTCACATTTTCAAAAAAAGTAACAAAAAAAAAAAAAAAAAAAAAAATTTGAAAATGCCCTGGCATTGGTGGGAATAAAACAATGCCAAAATGATTGGTGCTTAGAGGGGCTAAAAAATATAATTACATAAATTGGTGCCAGTGGGAGGAAGAGTACCCAATCATTGGTCCCAGTGAGAAGAATAATGCCCCTTTGTTGGTGTCAGTAGGAGAATTATTTCCCCATCTCTGGTGTCAGTGGGAGGAATAGTACCCCATTGCTGGTGTCGGTGGGAGGAATAGCTCCCCATATGCTGCAATAAAAAGGCAAGCAAAAGGGCCATATCCAACCCACAGGCTGCAGTTTGGAGACCCTGCTCTATAAACTGGGAATCACTGTAGTTGGCACTATTCCAGTGATCTCCACTAGCTGATGAATGCAAAACATTCTCTGATTGGATGAGGTGGAGAGGCAAGGTGGTAATGTCACAGAACTCAGCAGATAGTGGAGTTCACTGGTATAGTGGTGTGGGGATCCCACAGGTATGGGATATGCATAATTACATTGGTCCAAGCTGGACCAATGTAACAAGGTAAAAAAATGCCACACCTGGAACTCTTCTTTAAAATCCCATTTAAGAGACATTTAAGAGATGTGAGGGGTGGAACCAACCACAAGCATTTGAAGGAAAAGTTGAGATTTGCATATACAATTGAAGCTTCATATGTTTCCAGATCTACTTATTCTTTTGGCATGAAGTTTTCACTGAAGGTATCTTCTGATTTAATATGTATTTTTTTCCTAACACATAAATGATTCACATTGCTCAGGTTTGTGACAGATCACTTTAAGCATGACCTCCTTCCATATTTTTCAAGCCCAACCTAGAATGTAGCCATTTTTTCATTTTTTTTAGTTCAGGTTTAAAAGAACTCTGTCGCTGAAGGATACAGTAGTGATATGAAGACAGAGGAAGAAAGCAGGAAAAGATGCAGAAGACCTAGGGGATGTTGGCTTGTCAGCAGATCCTGGGGCACAAGAACTTGTGAATGAAGGAATGTTTGGCATTGCGGGCCCCAGGAAAGGTCAGTATTTACCACTTTCTTTTACAGGTAACAGGAAGTTTATTTATTTCGTTTTGCACGCTAGGGTTGATTTTTAAGGACAAGACTGTTCATGTACTCTGTACATTTCTGTGGTATGTGTCAACTTAATGTACAGTATGTGAAATAAACACACACTTCCTGAATATGTATTTCTGTGCTAGGGATTTATACACCCAATAACATACTGTGTGTTAAGAGAAATGTATTTTACAAATACAACTAAACTCATTTCAGTTTCAACAGATGATTAATATTACTTGAATATTGTCCAAATATTACTATATTTTGTACAACTAATCTCAGAATAAGCACAGATTTTTTTTTTAGCTATATGCAGTAGGCCTAAATTAAACATTGAATAGGATTATTAAATTATAATAAACAGCATGTGGTCTACATGTGCATTTTGGATTCAAATAGCCAGAATCAAATACATACCAAAATGCTTGCTATGCAAACCCATCACACAAGCATTCTGTCCACAGGTGGCTACATTCACTCTACTGTATCTATGGAGGAAGCCATGGTTATCACCCAGGCTGAACTTCAAACATGTTTGTTCATCTTCATTATATAGGTGGTGGGGAATTAGTGGTGAACAGAAAAAAAATATATTATTGTTTTCTGCTTCCAGGTTAGCACACAAGAATTGAGAAGCACTGCTTTTCTGGAGAGGTTAACAGGTATTTTCTGTACTTCTTGAAAATGTTTTTACCTTTTAAAGAAAAAATGTAGCCACTACATGTGAAGACTGTAATCTGCAATACATTACATTTTTGTTTTTGGGTTTAGTTATGAAGGAAGCAGACTGGGTTACCTAGTAAAGCTAATGTATTTTCTAAGGTTATGTTTTTTCTCATGTGCCTTTAGATAGTATGCAGCAGGTAGCAGGGGTTGTTAAGTAGATTGAGTATCAAGGGTTTAGTTCTGCTGTAAAGCCCATGGTTATGTTTAGGTCTTGTTTACACCTATGCACAGAAAATGCATTTTATAATATATATTGCTCTCAATATATATTGTTCTGGTCATAGACGGCTAGAATTTCATTTGAACATTGTCCATTAGGGCATTCAATAATACCATTAGTGACTACAAAAACTGAATGAAAGAATGTCATTCGCACTCCACTTAGCTCCTCTTGCAGTATTTTTTAAACCACTTCCCCTGTCCTTGTGAGCAAGCAAGGTAAAAACACATGAGCAGAGGTTGATTTTTGGGTGGAGATATTACTGTATGTAATGAATTCGTTGATTATTAAAAAATACTGCAAGAGGAGCCAAGTGGAGTATGGCAGACATTCTTTCATATTCTTAATAGAGAGTGGAGGCGGGCTACAATGGCCAACACCCAGGATGTCCATATTTAAGAGAGGCCAGTCTTGAGCAGAGCTAAGGATCTGTGTGTTTTTGTACAAAGATTTTATATTAAAGCCAAGAAAACTTTGTTTGATTTCCATGAAAATTTTGCAATTTTTAACATTCATTCAATTTTGGAATGGACAAAAATGAATGTAGTTCCAAACAGGAATCGCACACACAATTTTGATCAGACAAGAAACACAAAAAATCTTCTATCCTCCTTTGATTTTCCTCATCACTGTATTCAACAATTGTTGTCAAACTAATAAAACTACCATTTCCAAATGGAATTCTACCAGGTGATTGGCTGGCTAGCTTAAAAGGGAACTTGACTTAATTAACATTTATGAACAGGCAGGATTTTTATTGTGTACTATGTCTCTTTTGCATTAAAGTATCCTTATCTGCTTGTTCGCACTGTACAATGAGAACGCACAACTCCGCGTACGATTTCAGCACTAGCTGAAATTAATTGACACCTACACATACATGAGTGTCATCAACTTGACCTGGCCAATCAAACTGGCTGAAGACCAGAACCCAAAGAAGATAGGGAGAACATGTCAGCGGCCAGTGATGGGCTGCATCGCTGGAGGGAAAATGAAAAGAAGGCCTGCATTCATTTCCAACTGTATTAAGCATAAACAGCAGAGTGCCTATGCAAATGCTCAGTTCAGCATTCTCACATTGGCCAATTACAGAAATGAGGCATGGCATATTTTGTCATTGATCACACCACCTCCACCCAAATGCCTTGGGTATAGCTTTGATTTAATATACATAAAATGACTCAATGAGCATCTGCCAGTATATTGCAAAGCTCCTCTTTATCCTGAAAGCCATATTTTAGCAGGCAATCACTCATCTGGTTTAGTGTTACACAATAAACATTTGGGAATGTCTGTAAGGAAAAAACAAGAATATTTCAGATTACATCAAATTATTATACTAATCAGGAAATTAGAAACTATTATTGCCCTGAAAAAGAGGCAAAAGTCACATGACTTTACATCTTTGGTTGTCCATCTTTAATTCAATATAACAATGCTTGATCATCTACTCACATGTTTGGGAGTCAGGCGACCTTAAGATCTTTTTAGAATCATGCCATACAGTCTTGCAGTCCTCTTGCAGCTTGTAAAACCTTGACCTTTTCCATGATGCAGACTTGACTTTGGACAGTGGACTTCCCTTCAGAAGAAACTTCAGATCCTCGTCATCTTGTAAACCTGTACAGACATGGCAAACGTTAACGGACACCGAAAATTGGAACCAAATACAGATTTTAAAAGCCAAATATTTTCACAACAGGGCAGAAAAGGTCCCACAAGATTATGCACAACGTGGTATTGCAATTAATTGTAGGGGCTTGTAATATTCCTAATGGTCTAACAGCTTCTGAGTATGCATAACAGCTCCAACAACATCTTATTGGTAAGAGGAATTAAACTACTACAGCTTTTGATGTTATTATGACACAGTAAATTACGAAGGGCAAATAGACTGTGCACTTTGCAAGTGCAGTTGTTCCAGATCTTAGTAAATGAGGAGCTCTGCTAACTTCTATCACCCAATCACGTGCAAGTAAAAATGCTGTTTTTTTAATTAACCTTGCATTCAATTGGGTATTCATTGGAAAGTGAAGCTTGACCTCATTTACCAAGCTCTGGAGCAAAAGCACTTGCAAAGCGCACAGCCTATTTGCCTTTAGTAAATCCACCCCAGTGTGTGAGGGTCAGGCAGATAATTGAGTTTGATGCAAGCTGAAGAGTCGATATAGTTGTAGAAAGTAAAGCCAAGCATGCAGGTAGCAAAAAATATACAGCATACAGATGACTGTACACCTATAGTAGCTGCAATGCAATTGGATGAAGTAGCCCTTTCAAGTGTTAGTCAGCACCTTGCATAAGCCCAGCTATGAAAGGTTTCATTGAGGTGTTCCCCATGTCAAGTGTTGGAAAGCAGAACACCCATGTATACACCAGCTCTCATTTTTTATACACCTAAGAAAAGGCAGAAGTCATCCTTACAGGCACCAATCACCAAATTAATTCATTTCTCAGTCTAAAGTTTTATTCTTCACAAATACGCTACTCCTAAAAATGCCAGACTGTTAGACGATTCCTAAATGAAAAACCGCAAAAGAAGAATTCACTTTTCTGCAGAATAAGCTTTACATTGAAAAACAAAATCATGGGTGGCTTCCATAGTAAAAACACAGATTTTCATTCATGCACCATCTCCCGTACGAACATGTATATTAAAATAAATGATGCAATAAATGGGTATATACACTACATACTTGCATATAGCCAAATGTTTAGACATACAGTAATACACACAACTGATATTCCTATTATTAGTTACATACACACACTGTACATACATATATTTGTTGGCATGACCAGTCATATTTTCAATATCAATGCCAAAATTGCATAATTTCTGCCAGGGTATGCAAACTTTTGAGCACAGCTGTGATATATATATATATATATATATATATATATATATACATATATATATATATATACACACACATACATACACACACACACACACATATAAATACACACACACACACACACATATATATTTTCACACATACATATACACACACACACACACACACACACACACACAAGTTTGTATACCCTGGCAGAAATTATGACATTTTGGCATTGATATTGAAAATATGACTGATCATGCCAACAAATGCTCTTTAATTGAAGGATGAGGATCATACCCTGGAATGTTTGGCCTTGGTACAGACACACAAGGTGACACACACGGGTTAAAATGCCAATTAGAGGTTAATGTCCTTCATCTGTGGCTTTCTAAATTGCAATTAGTGTCAGTGTATAAATAGTCAATGAGTTTGTTAGCTCCTATGTGGAAGCATTGACTAGGCTAGATACTGAGCCATTGGGATCAGAAAAGAACTGTCAAAAGTCCTGCGTAACAAGATAATGGAACTTTATAAAGATGAAAAAGGACATAAAAAGATGTCCAAAGCCTTGAATATGCCAGTCACCACTTCCACTAAGAAGTAGAAAATTCAGGGACCTCTTGATACCAAGCCAAGTACAGGTAGACAAAGAAAGATTGCAGCCACAACTGCCAGAAGAATTTTTCGGGATACAAAAAGGGAAACTCGTAGGTAACCACAAGAAAAATACAGGCTGCTCTGGAAAAAGACAGTGTGGTTGTTTTGAAGGAGCACAATAAGATGACACTTGAACAAAAATGAGCTGCATGGTCGAGGTGCCAGAAAGAACCTTTACTGCATCAATGACACAAGGCGGCCTGGTTAGGCATGTCAAGGTGTTGTCAGGCATATTGTAAATGGGCTTTTTTGTGGCATTGGTGCAGTAAAAGCTTCTGGCACCTCGACCAAAACAGCTCATTTTTTTCAAGTATCACTGTACTGTACTCCTTAAAAACAACCACACCATTTTTTTCCAGAGCAGCCTGTATTTCTTTTGAGGTTGCCTGTGGGTTTTTCTTTGAATCCCGGACAATTCTTTTGTCAGTTATGGCTGCAAGCTAAGTCTACCTGACCTTGGCTTTGTATCAAGAAATGCCTGAACTTTCCACTTCTTAATAGGCGATTTAACAGTACTGATTGGCATATTCAAGGCTTTGGACATCTTTTTATGTCCTTTTCCATCTTTATAAAAGTTCCATTACCTTGTTACGCAGGACTTTTGACAGTTCTTTTCTGATCCCCATGGCTCATTATCTAGCCTAGTCAGTGCTTCCACATAGGAGCTAACAAACTCATTGACTATTTATACAATGACACTAATTGCAATGTAAAAAGCCACAGATGTGGGACATTAACCTCTAATTGGCATTTTATCCCGTGTGTGTCACCTTGTGTGTCTGTACCAAGGCCAAACATTCCAGGGTATGTAAACTTTTGATCATCGCCATTTGGGTGATTTCTGTCATTATGATTTAAAAAAGAGCCAAACAACTATATGATAATAAAATGGTTTCATATGATCCTCATCATTCAATAAAAGAGCATTTTTTGGCATGATCAGTCATATTTTCAAAATCAATGCCAAAATTTCACAAATGTTTGAGCACAACTATATATATATATATATATATATATATATATATATATATATATATATATATATACACATACACACACACACATATATACATACATACATACATACATACACACAAAACTTTAGCAATCTTTGCAAATATATAAATAATGAAAAACTGAAATATTATATTAGCATAAGTATTCAGACCCTTTGCAACAACACTTGAACTTTAGCTCAGGTGTCTCCCATTCGTCTTGATCATTGCTGAGATGTTTCTACACCTTGGAGTCCACCTGTGGTAAATTAAATTGATTGGATATGATTTGGAAAGGCAAACACCTCTCTATAAAAGGCCTCAGAGCTGACAATGCATACTGTATCAGAGCAAAAGCCATGAGGTCAAAATGGCACTGCCTGCAGAGCTCAGAGACAGGATTATTGCAAGCACAGATCTGAGGAAGGCTACAAAAAAGTTCTGCTGTACTGACAATTCGCAAGAGCACAGTGACCTCCATAATTCACAAATGGAAGAAGTTTGGCACAACCAGGACTCCTCCAAGAGCTTGTTCCCTGGCCAGACTGAGCAATTGGGGGAGAGGGGACTTAGAGGGACCAGAGGGTTCTTGGTCTCGTCTATTACTGAACTCCAAAGGTCCCGTTTGAAGATGGGACACATTTCCAGAAGGACAACCATCTATGCAGCCCTCCACCAATCTGGGCTTTATGGTAGAGTGCCTAAGGAATCATGAAAGCTCGCTTGGAATTTTGCAAAAAAAAGCACCTGAAAGACTATGTGGAACAAAATTCTTTGGTCTGATTAAGCAAAGATTGAACGGTTAGGCCTCAATTCTACAACATTATGATTGAAGGAAACCAGGTACCAGTTATCACCTGCTCAATGCCATCCCAACAGTGAAGCATGGTGGTGGCAGCATCATACTGTGGGGGTGTTTTTCAGTAGCAGGGACTGGGAGATTGCTCAGTTGAGGGAAAGCTGAAAGCAGAAAAGACTTTTCCTCTCTTGTACAAAGCAACAAAGCAAAAATTTCACATCCACAGCTCTCTCAGGTATGGCTTCCCGAGCCCCAGGCCAAGAGCAACCTCTTGCTCCAGTCCTGCTTTATTTATACCACCTGCTGCTGGTCATCAGTGGAACACAAAATCTGGTCTGGAACCAACCTTACCAAAGTGGCCTAGAAAACCCAGACTGGACTCCACCTTAGTCTCCTAGATACGAACGCATGCAAGGTGACTACATCAATCACTTCGCCTTTCATAATGTCTATAATATATATACATACATACACATATACATACATACACACACTATTTAGATAATAAGCTACCAACAAATGCACACCACTCTTTTTTTGTTGCATAAATAAAGTGCATGGAAAGCATCTTTCTTTTTAAAGAGTCCTGGAATGAGTTCAGGCTTATGCACAGGGGCACAGATGGCCATACAGTCTAAACTGGCTGTAATTTTTTTAGTTGAATGTTAAAAGGTGTTGCAGACAGCCATCTTCTCAAACAAATGTCAGGTTTAGGGTTATTTACTAAGGCCGGAGAGTGCAAAATCAGGCTCATTACTGCATAGAAACCAATCAGCTTCCACCTTTTTTTGCCAAAGCTTAATTAAACAAGCTGAGGTTAGAAGCGGATTGGTTTCTATGCAGAGGTGAGCCCGACTTTGCACTCTCCAGCTTTAGTAAATAAACCCCAATGTGTCTGAATGCTGCTAAACACAGATCTGAGCATATACACGAGAACAGGTATGGATATACACCTCTGGACACAGACTGTCTACATCCTGGATTGTCCATCTGTAACTGTACACATGTATACGCCCAGATCTGCATTTACCAGTGTACAGTCGCATCCCATCATTGATTAGTAGAGACAAATGTATGCACCACCCATGACACCAAACCACAGGAATACTGCCCTCTGCACCCATGTGTACGAGACCTTAAAACCCTTTTTTTTTTTATTCCTGACAGTACCTTTACTAGGGAGATATACAATCTGTATTTGTCTCACTGTTACCAACACAGACAGTGATGGGAATTCTGTCATTTTAGTGTTGTTTCAGGAACAGCAAAAAATACAGGGAAATCTTCCAGAGGGTACATGGACTTCAAAACAGCAAAGAAAATTCCCGAC